CAAGAAAAAAAAAACACAAAAAAAAAAAGGACAGGAAGCGACCTCCCTTTTGGGGGTTGGCAACTTCCTCGTATTGTAAATGTACACTTGTATGACTAGTCCATTTTAATTCTCCTTAAAAACTTGAATAGCAAAAAATTAATCGTGCCATCCCCAGCATAGGAATGAAATAAATGATCCGAATAATTGATACAAATTTTATTCTCCGTTGAGGACTTGTGCGAGGAGGAGCATGCTGTAGCGGGCATATTCATAGCAAACTCTGTCTCACAAATACAAAATGTGGATAAGTCGGCATTTTTACTTAACGCATAATCTATAGAGTAATTTAATCCCTCGAGTAATGGAATTATTTTTAAAAACACTCTGGTAAAAAAGCATCTTAAAAAAAACGGTTTGGCCTGCACACATTTCTTATTTGAAATAATTTTAATTTCAAATAATTTATTAAAAATGTAATATTGAGACGATAAGTCCAGCATTAAATGATAAAAGGTGAAAATAAAAATGCCAAAAATAAATCCGAGCAAAACATCGGAAGTGTAATGGATAAACCCGATAATTATAAACGCATAAATGAAACAACATAAGACAGTTATTAGCGTCTTCAGTACAACACTGTTCATGTAAAAAAGGGCGAATAGTAAAAATATGGTGGTGGAAAAGGAATGGCCAGATATAATCAAATCTGAACACACATACACTAAGTTCATATTTATTTTAATTATCTGCAATAAATTAAACGATAAGTTGCCACTCTCTAGAGGCACACATGTTTGCAATGTGGCTGGAAGGGACGTGACATATACAAGTACACCCCTCAATAAATAAAAAAAACCCAGCATGTAAAGGAAGCGACAAATAATGGCCATAGACAAGTACACACTATTAAACAGAATTAATTGTACGAAAGTAATTGACAACAATCCTATTAAATTGTTGGACAATTCGTACGATATCCATTCAGGTGGATTCTCAAACAAATTGTGAATTCGATCACTTAACGGTGTGGTGTACCTTTTGTAATATGAATCACTATATATCATGAAAAATCCTTGTATGATCAAGCATATTACTAAAAATGTTAACGCGATTGCTAACCTTAGGAGTAACACCTTGAACAGTTTCCATTTTGTCAAACCGTCAATGTCATCACCACTGGGATTTGCTCCGTTCGATGAGGCGAAGTTACTCATTTTTATGTCTATATTTATTTTGCAGTTATCGCTCGTCTTGTAGCTATTCTTGCCTTCATTTTCTCTCCCGGATTGTTCGTAATTACTGTTTTTAAATTCGGTCACCATTTTGGTATGTTCTGCGTTTTTCGCAAAGTTTTCCTATTTTTTTTTTGTTGTTGTTTAGCTGCGTACAAGTGACAAAATTGCGCAAGCGTGACAAAATCGAGTCAACGTGGACAAAACACTCTAGCATCACGTCATGTGTACACGCTTACACAGCTGCACACGACGCACAAGATATAGGCGGACACAAAAACAAGCAATCGTAGAAAAGGACAAAAGGACTAAGTTAACGTAAAAGTTTATTTCCAAAGGGTTGGGCAAATTACATGCACGTGTATGTGCGTGGTCTTTCGTACAACATAAACAACACAAATTTTGTATAGCAGGCCGAAATTCTTTCAATGTTCAAGCAGTCAGTTCCGCAGAGCTTCATAAATGCCTCTTCGATTTATGCACCAGGTTTTTCATGTACAAATGTATGTTTTTCGGGGTGTAGGACACACGAGTACGTACAAGCACGCATAAGTAACTAGGCTCACTCGTGTGTACATGCACTCATCCGCTGCATCCTCATTTTGAAATTTTGTTCTTCTGTGTGCTACAACTTCGTAATGCGAGCTCATGAGAGCCAGGAAAAAAAAAAAAAAAAAAAAAAAAAATTAATGCGTACATACGCGAGTAGAGCTTTTTCGTGCTTCGCCTTTTTTATGCTTCGATTTTTTTATGCTTCACTTTTTTATTTTTCATTCTTTCGTGCTTAATTTTTCCTTTTTTTAAGTTTTTAATTTTTTACATTTTTAACAAAATATTATGGGTGGGGTGCGAAAAAGACACATGAAAAAAGAATGGCGCGATGGTGTAGAAATTCGCAGAACAATACTTCATAATAGAGTGCGCGAAAAAAAATTAGATCAAAAGTGCACAGGAGAAAAAAAAAAATTAACAATTCTATTTTATGTGTATGCATATGAGCATATGTACACATGTTCATACCTACCTGCGCGCAGAAGTACCCATGCGTACACACGTACACACGCCCATGGGTACTTCTGCGCGCACATTCCCTTATCAAACGCGCGCGCCGTACACCCCATAAGGTAGGTTTTTAAAATAAAAATTAAAAGGAGCCAAGTTTAAAAGAATTCATAAAAACATCAAATCAATCATAGGAGGTGGTACGTGCATGCAAATAATGCTCACACCATATGGGAGTAGCACATATACACACAAATGCGCACCGTGGTGTGAAGGTTCAAACATTAGACACAAAATGAAAAAATGATATTATAAAAAATACTAAATGTCAATTTAATAATGCATCAAGAGCTCCACTAGGTGGCGACTACGGAGTTCACCTCTGGCTGGGGTGTACGTATGTACGGTGAAAAGGTATAAGAAAAAAAAAAAAAAAATTTAATTACTTTTTATGCTTGTTTTGCAAATTGACAAACAAATTGGTGCGCGGAGAAGGGGAGGCACACACACACACAAACAGGCGCATATGTATACGAGCATATGCACAAACTCACGAACTAATTCTTTTTCCTAATTCCACACAGGTACTTGATTTTATTCACGATGTTCTTAAGGGTTGATAGATCAAAAGACCCACTTCCAGCATATGAATGGTAAAAGTGGTCGCTAAAATCGCAATACTCTTCGTTGTTCACGGTCCTCTTCTTTGTTATGAGGCCTTTTGCATTCACCGGCTTGCACGGGCAGAAGCAGTTCTGTAGGGGGGGCAACGTCCGCATATGTCCTAAGATATACATATACACATAAACACTTACATGACTGCATAGTGCAAGCCGTTGTCCTGATTCTACTACTTACCCATTCCTTGTCATACGAAGCGGCCATGTTCAGTCTGTGCTCTAATCCTTCCATGAACCCTATTATCTTAATGAAGTAGGTGAACACTGCACAGCGCTCGACAAAGGATGCTGCGTAATTCGAATTCTATAAAAGGGGATGGAAAAAAAACAAAAAAGGCACGGTGAGCATCTTCATAACTATGAGGAAAATATATGTGCAGAATCTTAGCACTCCTCATGTGGGCCATGTTTA